TTGGGCCCATTTGACAAAAATTGCAATTTAGGCCACTTTTGACTTTTGGCAAATTTGCAAAAAAGGTCAACTTTGCCAATGCATAACTCCTTCAATTTTGACCCTAGAGATGTGTTCTTGGACTTTTTAGAAATATTAAGATGTTCTCTAAGCAACCCTTTTGGTATCATCTTAATTAAGTCTTCCATGTTCATGTATGAAGCTTTGAAAAAAAAGGTTTTTTTGTTGACTTTTCAAAATGACCTATAATGTCTAAATTTATATCTTCTTGTGAGTGCATATTTTGAACTTGGGAGATGAATATGAATTGTAGGGAATTTAATATTCTTCAAAATGAGCTTTGGATGGGTCATTCTTGATAAAGTATGAGAAAGTTATGCTTGGTCAAAGTTGAGTTGACTTTTCCTACAAAACCCTAATTTAGCAACTTTTAGGTTTTGATGAATTATGAGAAATACTTGAGGAATCATGATCAACCCTTAATAAAATTATGAATAATAATTCAAAATGAGTATGTTGACCAAAAATCTTAAAGTTTGACTGTATGTGGGCCACAGTTGACTTTTGCCCTAGCATAGTCGATTTTCAGGCCTTTGAGCAATTGACTGAGCAAACTTTCTCTGTAGGGCTTGATACTTGACTTGGACGATCTTGAGAACATATTAGGGAAATGATGAGAATTTGGGGTCCTTTTGATTCAAATATCTTGATGTAAACTGAAACCCTAATTTGAGGTAAACTGCCTTAGGAGAGAGTTTGTCTGGTCAACCCTTGGACTTCCTTGAGCAATTTGAGGACCTCACTTGAAGTGTATTGAGAAATATGGGAGGGAAAATTTTGGGGTACAACACATAGCCCAAGTTGAAATTTTCCAGCCTGCTGAGCACGTGAGGAAGCTGGTCAGAACACCACAAGCGGTCAGAGCCAGACTCTAGCTCACAGAACATTTTCCAGCTGCAAGGTAAGCTTTTGCTAACTACTGTCATATTACTTAAGCATTGTTAGACTTGCATGTTCAAAATATAATGTAGACATCCTGATTCTGATGCTGTACATATTCCGAGGTTTCATATATTTGTCTGCCTAAGTAGAGAGAATTCTAGTTCAGAACTTCTTGAAGAAATTAGGAATTAGAATTAGGATTAACAAATTCATGCTTGCTTCTAATTTATAGCTCTGATATCTCTTGTTTCTGAAACATTATGAAACCTGCCATAACTGTTATATGTGCATCTTCTGTTTTGTTGAGAAATGACCAAGTTACAGATGTTCTGACTAGCATGGAGAGGGAGACGAAGTTTTTCCAGTGGCATCAGAACTTCTAAAATCTTCTTTGTTCCCAGTGGATCCAGAACTTCTAACTTTACCTATTTCTGCTAATATGATTTCTGTTTTTGCAGCACGTCAGAGTCAGAACTTCTGATCTCTTTTAGTTCAGCAATGCGCTGATTCTATTTTTCTTTTTCCTTACCATTTTTTCCATCACTTCTATTTTCACTAATCAAAAACACCAAAAACATTTTTACATTTTTTATGCTTTATTTTATTTCTTAAAACAAAAAGATCAAAAATATTTTCTTAAACAAAACTTATTTATTTTCTTAAAAAAAACAAGCATTTCACATTTTCTTATACATCCTTATCCATTCAATATGGTTGTAATAGTAACTTAGGATTTAATTTTATTTGTAATCCCCATTTGTAAATCTGTATACCCCATTCCCTAATGATTGTAATAGCGTAGAATCTTTACTTTCCGCATTTTTATTGCTTTCATATATTGTTAGTAATTAGGGTGTATATGGAAAGACTAAAACCAATATTTAGAAAACCCTAATTCAAGACAAAATCAAGCATGAAAACAATATACTTACACACAAGCACCCCTAGGGTAAATCCACTTGGTTGCCTTACAAAATGACCATATTATGAATGTGAGGTATCTTAGCAAAAACAAACAAAAACAAGATCATAGTCCCTCGATGACGCTATCTAAGTTGCCTTACAAATGATCTTAGTCCCTCAAAAAGAATGCTAAGATACCTTGCAACATTGCTAATCATGGCTATACAAAGACCCATGCCCGTCCCGTTTACATTCAAAGATAGGGTTTCTTACCAAATCAATGGTAAGACAACAATGTCAAAGGAAAAGAAAATGAACAAAAAAGACATTTGAGTAGGTAGATTGCTCCTAATTACTTGCTCCCTTTCAAACAAAATATCCTTTTGCTATTTTCAAAAACAAACACTTACACTTTTAAAAACATCTTACAAAACTTGAAAATATTTTCAAAAGATCAACGTCTTTATATACATTCTTACGAACAAGAATCATTACAAAGATTGCCTAAACAATAGCCTTTTAAAAAAATACTTTCAAAAACCACACAAAGCACATTTTCAAACAAAAAGCAAATGATCTAGCAAGTAACTAAGAGCCCATGGAAAACCATGGATGGAAATGGTGCTAATACCTTCCCTTTTCATAATCTACCCCCCGAACTCAAGAAATAATCTCAAAGGTCTTTCCTGTGCTTTTTCACCTTTCCTTTTTGGATAAAAGAAAAGTAGGTGGCAACTCTTGCTAGCGACATCATTTGCGATCAAACGCAAAACCCTCAAGTCAGTTCTCCCACCATATCACAGTATCCTTATGTCTTGTGGAACTCCTCTGTATTATAGGTCAGAGGAATCATCAAAAAGTACTTTGAAATTGACCTAACACATTGGAAAAACAGTTTCTGCATGTTTTTGTATTGCATGTGTCAATATATTTGATTTTCAGGTCGACACACGTAACTAAGTTTTTAAGCCTGTAAGTTTCTGTAAGTCACAGGTCGACACATACAACCTTTAGATCGACACATACCGAATGATTTTTGAAATTGCAGAAATTATTATTTTATGTGCCGACACGTCCATATTTCAGGTCGACACATTTACTCACATTTTAAAGCTTGTAGCTTCTGACTTATTCAGGTAGACACATAGTGTCCTTCAGGTCGATACGTGCATTCTCTTTATAACTTTTGTGTTGATACATACAAATTTGAGGTCGACACATAAAGTCTGTTTTGGTCAAATTTTCAATTTCTTTTATTCTGGATTTGTCCTTTTTGCCCTAAAATTTCTAATTATAAATATATCATTCATGCATCATTCCAACTTGATGATACCTAAAAATTAGTCTACTTTTTCTCTTCATCTTCAACCTTCCAATCTATGCATACACACCAACATTACATTGTGATAATATTTCGTCGGGGTGCCATCTAGACGAAGAATTGTGGATTTCCAATTGGTTTGGGTTGAGTTCTTGTAGGGGTCTTCATCTGGAAAAACTATTGGATTTGTCCTCCAAAATCATTTGTCGAATTGGGGATTTTCGTGCAAGAACGTGCGAGATAGAGTCGTCCATGTGAAAAATCCCTTGGAGTGTTTGAAATCTTTTCAAGAAACCTTAGAGTGATTGAAATCTTTTTAAGTAAGTAGCAAGAATCGAATGATAGAATCAGTGATCTTGTGTTGATAGTATGGATTTGAATTTACTCGAGGGAAAAATCCTTTGGACTATTTGAAATCTTTGCAAGGAACCTTGGAGTGTTTGAAATCTTTTCAAGGAAGTAACTTAAGCGACAAATATGTTTCATCTATCGGTCTTGGTCTTGTTGAAGATCAAAATAAGTGAAGGGGATGAATCAACATCAAACGGTTATGTTTTGTATAGTTACTTTGAACACTTCTCTTATAATCATACTTTTGTAAAGTAAGAAATTATCCTCATTCTAAATTTGGAATTGGGGGGAGATGTAGCCATAGCGATGACGATTGGTGAACTTCCTAAACAAATCCTTGTGTCTCTTTTCTTTTATTACTTTACTTGTTTTAATCTTCATACATCGATTTGTCAATAGTATGGAGTAATTTATCGAAGCGTAGGAATTTTTTGAAACTACTTTTTGTTTTGAATTGTGTGTTGAGTTGCTTATAATCACTTTTGATTATAAGTTCTTTTTCGTATCAACACAACATGAAGAAAAATTCTGAAATTTTGATTGCACGGCAAGTGTTTGACAAATTGTTTAGCTTGTTTAACTCAAAGAAAAATTGCAATGTTCTATCTCCTACTTTCATTTACTCTCTATATGCAATGTGTTGATTGTGTTGTTTGATCGATTGATTCGTATATAATTTCTCTTTGATTATAAAGGTTTAAATTTCTTCGTTGATTAGCTTATAATCACTTTGATTATAAGTGTTTTTGCATATTAATAAATCTCAAAGAAAATTCTGAAACATTGATTGCACGCCACATGTTCGATAAATTGTCGTATTATGTTTTTAATATGATTTCATTAGAAATAAGAAACCGTTGTGTTGAATATTAAATGGTTAATTGAAATATTATGTTGATTGATTTTATCATTATGATTAATTCCATATGACTCGTGCATATCCGAATTTTCAATAATTAGGTTCGTTTAGACTACTATATTTGATCTAGACCAAAAACCTTCCGATCAACATTATTTTTCAAATAAGTTTTAAATAATCATTTTAAAAGATAATTTTTATTTGAGGATTTAGTCACCCCTTTATATTCTATGCCGCAGTCTAATAGACAACACCAAGAATATACCACTTTTCTAAGCATTCATAAAAAAAGAAAATAGGTAGACAACACCAAGAATATACCACTTTTCTAAGCATTCATAAAAAAAGAAAATAGGTTATGCAGTAAAACACAAAAGATCAACTCAAGATGAAAGAGCAGTTTCCAATATGATCAAGTTGAATTAATTTCACCATATAAGTAATTATAGAAGAACTAATCAACAAAATTAACAACTTCCCAAACATTATTTTTGGGAAAAGTTTTAGTATCAATAAAGCCCTAAATACAAAAACAAAGTGCACATGCCATGACTAAGTAACAGTCTCCATATCTCAAATCATCAACAACAAAAAAATACTATTATTATTATTTTGATTGCAAATTTAATCAAAATAAGATATATGATCACTTGAAATTGAGCTATAATTGGAAGGATGATTCTCCTGTTGTGAGTAAATAGAAGAAGGTAGCATAGGAAATGTTGATGAAGTTGGCATGGTAGCAATTGACACATCTTGTGAAGAAGGAAGCATGTTAGCTTCCATGAGTTTGTATTTATGTATTTCTTCCCTTATAGCATTAAGTTCACCAAGTAATGATTGAACTTGTTGTTGCAAAGATGAAATTGCACCCATGCATCCATAAACTGGATCTCTTAGTCTTACATTTGCTTCATAAACTAAACTATTTGCTGCATCCGCTCTTTGATTCTCTGGTACCTCCTAAAACACATCACCATATATCACAAATATTACATTTTATTTTATATAAAAGTTATTCACCCTAGTTTTGCAATCAAGTAGAATGAGTTAGGGTTTTATTTGTATATACCAATAACAGCTTTGAGACATTGCTGGCACCAAAGACTTTATGAACAGAAGCAAACTTTTGAGGCTCATGAGGAGAAAAATATGGAGAAAAAGGGCATTCTTGTGCACACCTTCTTCTCAAAAGCTTACATGCAGCACAAGGAGTAGTTGTATTTAGGGTTCCAGAAGAACCTAACATTCTTCCCTTTTGAAAAGTATCATCTCCTTCTTTCTTCTTTCCTATCTCATCAAAAAATCTCCCCCTATTGTGTAATATAAAAAGCATGAAATTTAGTAGCAAATTGAGTAACATTATATCTTAAGGTACAAAAGTATGTTTGAAAACACTGATTACCATATATTAATTAGTATAAATACTAGCAGCAAGTTAGAAATGTTTTCTTACCTTTCTCTGGACATTCAGGCATGCTCTATGGAGTATGTAAAATTAGGAATTAATTTATGGAGAGAATTTTGATAGAGATTGAAGTGATTAAGATTTCAAAAGGCAAGGTTTGGTGTGCTTAAAAGGCAAGGTTGTAAAGGAAAATCAACACTCTAGCTATATGTAATGTTGAAGAAATATATAGAAAATATTAGTGCCACATTGTATAAAATATATAGAAATAAGAAGTATATGTTCAATGCTAGCTAGTGGTTGAGTTTGAACTTCTCTGGTTTTCGAGGATTTTTACAAATGTAGGTCTACTTGTTCACGTGTGAGTTCTTAAATGTGTTTGACTTTTAAATAAACTTTGTGATTCCATTGGCCCATGCATGTGGTTCTTGCTTCCTAGTGAAGACATGTATAGTCTCCTCATAGTTTCAAATTAAATTTGGCAATCATAATTAACATTGCAGTATAAAGAATTTTGAGGTCATTTGATGCATGTATAAATAAATTATTAAATATGTATTTTATATTTAATATATAATATTAATTATTAGTTATCACTAGTTTTGGGGAGTTAAGAATTGATTAAGAAACTATCTCATCTCTTAATTATTAGAAAGTAGTTGTGTTTGTATATTTATTTATATATATATATATTAATATTGTACATGTAAAATGAAATGAAGAAAATTATTCATAAAAAAATTCTACTCTTTATCCCTTTTTACGAAGACATATTCCTTTTCGAATTGGAATAATTAGACCTATTAATTTATCACACTCTATCATTGGTACTTTCATTTTCGAACTCCATTTCATCCATGAATCCCCTTTCTATTATATGCGACTATTTTGAGAAATTGATCAACGTAATGATGAATCATACAATAAAGTCATGGAGGTGTGTGTGTGCGCGCGCGAGCGCGTGTGTAGTTATTAGTAGTTTTAGGGAGTTCATAATTGGTTAAGAAACTATCTTATCTCTTAATTGTTAGGAAGTAGTTGTGTTTGTATATTTATCTATATATATATATATATATATATATATATATATATATATATATATATATATATATATATATATATTAGTATTGTACATGTAAAATGAAGAAAATTATTCATAAAAGAATTTTACTCTTTATCCCTTTCTATGGAGACATATTCCTTCTTGAATTAGAATAATTAGACCTATTAATTTATCACATTCTATCATCATTCTGATGTCAACATAATCACAATCTCGACGAATTCATTTACATTTTCCCATATTTTGCTTTAATAGATGTTTGCTTTGTAAGCCAAAATTAAAAATTGTTAAATTTTTCTAGTTCACTTAGAGGACAAATGTTTACGGGCCATGAACCTTTTGGATCAGATGACTTGTCTTGTCTCGTGAGGGGTTTGGGCTCTTCGCTCTTTTAGATTGTCCTCTCTATTAGGGCTTAATAAATTGGACTTGGGCCTAGTTCATAATAGTAGCCCCAAGCTTTGATTGACCAAAGAGAATTTTTTTACACTTAGTAGTGTTGAGTTAAACCTCTAAAAACCTGAAAATATCCTTCGTGTATGGACATCCGAACACACCTCTCACCATGTTTCAGATATGCACATCTAAAGACACCATTTTTCCATGTTTTAATACTTAAACGTTAGATTTAAAATTCTAGAGGTAGTTTCAGATATGCATATCCGAAACTACTTTTGCCATATTAGAATGTTGCATGGTCACCCATTCCAACTATTTCATTCATTTTCTTTTCCCCCGTAACCAGAACCCTCAACAAGACTTCAACCATTCTCAATGAAATTTTCGTCTCCAAACCATGTTTAAAGTATTTGAGCATAGAAAAGAGAGCATAAAAAGTTACAATTTGAGGTAAACTTTCCTCATTTCATCTTACATTCCGTTTGTTGATGCTGATTTCTGGAAGAAAAATACAGCGTCACTTCGGATATACATATCTGAATTAAACCTACCATAATTCAGATGTGCATACCCAAAAACATGTCTCTTACAAAAACAAAATTATATTTTAATATAATTTATGTTGTTTTGGTCGTCTAAGGTATGGTGCATCCCGACAATATTCTCAAAGTTGTCGTAAAGGTTCTGGACAAGGTCAATAAAGATACTAAGCCGAATGAGATGAAGATGTTGATAAAATGATAGATGTCGTGAAAGATTTTGGACAACAATTTACAAATGATAAAAGTTTCACCTCTCATCAACATATACTTGAATGAGTTCGAATGGAAGCTAGCAAACTTGGGTTTAGATTTGTGATTGGAAGGTCCGACAATGGCACTAGTAGAAGGCAACCATTTATTGTGATGACATGCGAGAGAAGTTAGAAATATGTTCCAAAACTCCAGAAGTTAAAACATCATGACACAGGATCTAGGAATGTGATTGTCCGTTTAAGTTGCACGGTTATTGTAGGATGGATGCTTCGTGGCGATTTAATGTCTTGTCCGGTATGCATAATCATGTGTTGGACACAAAGTTACAAGGGCATCCAATTGTATGTCGGCTAAAGTCAGAAGAGAAGGAAACTATTTCAAAATCGTCATTAATCAAAGTTGTGCCGAGAAACATGCTAGTTTGAAACACAATAGACCTGATAGTGTTACAAATATCAAGTCGGTTTACAATTATCGTTATAAACAACACATTGCACAAAGGTGCACTTAAAAAGGTGAAAAGTACACAAGCTGAGAGTTCAACAAAGAAGACTTCTTCTTACCATGAAGTTGTTGATTCAATATTCCCAAATTCTCCAACTCCAAAATCCAAAACAAGTGTTAACAAGGGAGCTCGCATTTCCAAACCACCTCGTACACCGCCTATTAAAAAACAACCATAAATACCACTAATTATCTACATTGATGAGATGCCTCTTTTTATGCACAAACACATTGAAAGAATCGTAGATATGGGGAGTGATGCTAATTGCGGGTTTCAGGTCGTGTCTGGGTTACTTGGTAAAGGAGAGGATAATCACAATCTTGTGCGCCAAACACTTATTTTGGATTTTACACACGACTATATGTCACAACTAAATCATTCAATAAAGTTCATAATTCTCTTGTTCCAAGCGTTAGCGTTCGTGCACCAGTTGAAAAGTGGATGAGCTTCTCTGAAATGGGTCATCTTATAACAAGTGCATATGAGAGGGTGTGTATCGACTTAATGAGTTATGGTTTTTAGGAAACCTTTTTTTCCTATTTATACTCCCCGCTGATAGATCCTTTCAACCCCAAACCATTTCATTCTCCATCACAAACAAAAATGACACAAACATATCCACACCTTGCTCTTGTCTACTTCAGTTGTGCGGAGTTGCCACTTTAATTCAGATTCTTGCAGGACACGTAGTTCGCTGAGCTCATTACCATACTGAATTCTCTCTTGTAATATCCATAGAATCTAAAGGTGGTCAAGCTTAAGTATCGTTCACCTTCAGTTGACACTAAAGGAAACATAAAGTTCATCCTGTTTGAGCTCAAGAACGACGATGATTTAGAGGTTATGAGGGGTACTTTTCAATGATACTCTTCTAAGGGTCTGATTGAAGTGGATGTGAAGCTTCAAAGATCGGGAGAAGATGTTATTAATATGTTTCAACATCCTTAACTACTTGTCTATAACAATATGTAATTTTAAATTTCTGTAGAACTATTTATATAATGTAATCGAATTATGTTGAATCTATATTATTAATTATGTTGATTGTTCTGTCATAGAGATGAATTCGGATATACATATCTGAAATAGGCCATCAGGTGAATTTGGATATGCATATGTGAAGTAAATTTAATAAAAAAGGTTAGTGGTGCATTTGGATATGCATATATGAATTTTTAGGGTATTTTAGGTTTTTCTCAAAAGGTCTGAAAGAAGAGTAGTAGGTGTAAAAAGAAATTCTCTTGACGAACTATGAGTGTGACTTTCCACTTCAATTTGTTTTTCTACACGTGCTTTGGAATCACGCTCTTGAAATAAATACAAACTTGGAGAGTTCCTTTTGGAATTGTTCTTGGTATTCTGGGCCATTCAATTTCGGATTTAGATCCTCTGCAGCTTTTTGTCTGTTGCCCTCTCTCCAGCCTTAATTTTAGCCTTTAGATTATAGTCTATGCATATTAGTCATCTAAAATAATATTTTGTATAGCTTATCAACCATTGGATCTAGAGCAGAATTGCTAATTGTAAACTAGAGAACAGGGGGTGCACAAAGCACAATTGATTGATTATTTGTGTAATTGTAAACTAGAGAATTGCTAATTAAACTTGACAAATATAATTAAAAATATTAAGTTCCCTTTTTGAATCATTTATCCCTAGAAGTGACAATTTTTATTACTATTTTTATAATGGATCTTATTTTATTATAATAGTAATTATAACCTCACACTCCTCTAAATGTTGGGAGTCTTCAATTGCAAGGCTACCAACTTTGTCAAAGAAACTCCCTAGATGATGTGAATCTTTAATCCCAACGACAAAAGTTTTATGGCACATAAAATAAGAAGGTATTTTTACCAAAATACAAAATTACACTTGCAATCCCCTAGATATTAGGAGTCTGCAATCGCAAGAATACATGCAAAGTAAAAAAAAAAAAAATAATGGGAGTATTCAATCATTACAATTTCATGTGAAAGTATGGAGATTAGACGATCTAGGAATGGGGTTGAATGGATTTGTCCCCTAACAACCAATTTAAAAAATATTTACTTTTACGATATCAGAGTTTAAAGTGTGAAAACAAAAGTTAATGAGAGGAAGCAAAAACGTGGCATATGGATTTAAAAACTATATGTTTCCTTATTATCATAGGAACAAGGATTTAATCAATACCATAAATAATAGGGGACTTGAAGTTGCTTTGACAAGCAATATAAATCCAATGAATTAAAGTCACTATAATCCTAACTCAAGGAGAGAATGTTAAACGAATCAAATGCATCACACACCTACACTTATATGATAAAATACTATAAATAGTATCCAGTTCTAGATGAC